AAATTCTGCACATACTAAACATAAAAAAGAATAAAATATAGTTCAAAGTAAAATACATAAATATCTCAAGGATTTTAATTTCGATTTGTCGATTTTTGTCCTGGATTTTTTTTTCTCGGTAAAATTAGAAATATAAATATTTTATACAATCAACTAAACCTACACTACATTTGATACATAAAGTATATAAAATACTAAATTGTAGATTATTTTGCATACCTTAATAAGTGTATAACTGTTTTTTTGTATATAATTGTGCAATTTGAAACAATTTATAAGTTGAGCTGTGATAAACAAAATTTCTAGTTCTCAGAAAACTAAATTTATGGGAATTCGATAAAATTCTGCAAATACTAAAACTAAAAAACAATAAAACATGGTTCATAGTAAAATACATAAATATCGCATAGAGTTTAATTTCTGAGTATAGTAGATTTTTTCCCGTGATTTTTTATATCTCGGGAAAATACCTGCCTTTTTCATGGCCCAATTTCTAATTTTATAAAAAGTATATAAAATACTAAATTGTATATTATTTTATATACCTTAATAACAAATTGTTTGTATATAATTAATCACTTTTATGGGTTTATAAAAAAAAAATCATTTAAAGAAAAACAAAATACAATTTTATTGGTTTTTGATTTAAACTAAATGCTATGTTTATAGCTATTTTTTATTAAATTTACATTAATTTATGGATTTTTTGGAATTGTATTTTGTATCTTCAACTTATTATTGTTGAATCAAATTATATTATTAAGATGCAACTTTCTTAGAAATTTATTCGTAGTAGTAATTTCAACTTTGGAGTTATATTAAATTAAACTCTACATAAACTTGATGTACATGTAAGCTTTTGCTGGATGATAATATTATGTGTTGAGGGTTTATATGAAGTAGAACTCAGATTATATACAAACTAATACTCACTTACAGCCTAGATTGTAACCATAATAATGACATTATTAAACGTCACAATAATAGTGCGGCTTATTAATGTATTAACATTGGTTTTGACAATTTAATTATAAAAGACAAACTAATTATGATAGTCTGAATTTTTTGTATATTAAGTAAGTATAGAAAATAAACAATTTACATTTCAAAACATACAAGAATCATTGGGGTATGAATTTATAAAATAATTGTGCGATTTGAAACAATTTGACTTATGATAAACAGAATTTCTTTTTCTTAGAAAACGAGAAATAAAATTTCTGAGAATTCAATAAAATGTAGTTCATAGTAAATACATAAATATCTCAAATATTTTTATTTTCGATTTAGTGTAGTAGTAAATTTGTCATTTTTTTCCCGGGATTTTTTTTTCTCGAGAAAATTAAAAACATAAATATGTTTTATCTGTTTATGACATTTTTAAACGTTAAAATAATAGTACAACTTATTACTGCATTAACTGACAATTTAATTAAAATATATACATTTTTATTTCAATACACCCTAGAATCATTGGGTTATATTTAAAAAAAAATTGTACGATTATAAACAAATTTTGTCACTGTGTATGATCTTTGTGCATAAAATTAGACAATTTTATCTGAGCAATTAAATATAGTCTACTTCGCTAAACTGTTACAGATTTATTGACTTACACTTATAACATCAACTATGATTTTTTAAGGAACTTTTAAAAAATATCCTTTAATTAAGTAAATTTAATATTAACTCATTTTCCTTTTTATTATATTATAGGGTTTATTTTTCTATATTTATTTTTCTATATTATAGGGTATATATTATAGTAAAGCTCATTAACTTTTTGAAAATTCTATTTGTAATATATGTTTACATAATTATATCAGATTTATTGGTTTACGCATACAACACCATCTTTTGATATTTTTTAGAAATAAAATAACAATAAGTATGTAAAAATCCTAAATTGTATACCATGAATTGATTATTTTGAATGTCTGCTTGTTTAGATACAAATAAGAAACTTAATTATTCATTTTTATGGGTTTATACAAAGAATATCTTCAAATTGCAATTTAATTTTTTTACCAGTCTTAATTTAGATCAAAAGATATGAAAGATATTTCTTTATTAAATTAACGGTTGCATTTCTAATTTATATATCCAATTTCAGGATGTAAATTTTCTTAATTATCTCAGTTTTGTTGGTACGCTTGCATCTTTTGCTATTATTTTAGAATTTTTTTACATATATCCTCATATGTTTTTCTCTTCTCGATTTATGAGTCTATATTTAGAACGTTCATATAAAAATGTTATATAGTTTTTGTTCTGCTACAATGGATTGCATCAAATTATATAAATCCTAAGTCTAAACTAATATAATAACAAAGCGAGCGAAACAATATGATCAGTGAAGTCTAGAGTGCCCAGAAATAACAGTTCCAGCAAACCGAAAGCTTGACAAAGACCCTGAACAGTACCTATCTTGCCCTGCCTAAATTAGACAACTAAATCAAACTTCGGCATCTTCGCTACAATAGGCTACATAATGTAATCAAAATATTACCTCCCGAAATGTAATTCCAGTGGGGAATTGCACTAGAACCTTTGGTTGGAGGCTAATTAACGTAATCCGAGTTGGTATTAGTACATTTGTGTGTCTGGGTGACTCGAGTGAATGGTTTTATAAAAGTCGATTTCCAACGTACCGTTTATCGGCCCTTTAGCAGCTTACAGCCGGGATTCATTAAGTGATTAAGCGCTTCAGCTTATTAGCGTGATCCAGGTGAAAGCGACTCGTATTCGGTCAGCGTAGCCATAGAAACAGTGACAGACGGACAGGTAGGGGGTTTATGTACGGCCGCGTATGTCCAGTCTGCATTCGGAATCGATATTTTCCAGACAATGGAGCAAAATTGAATAGATGGAACGGACGAACAGACATCGGATTTCGCTCTTGACAAGTGGCACTTCCGGGTTTGCAATATAATCATTTCCGCTTTTACACTTCACCTTAATCTGATAATTAGGCTTCATTTAACATTTTTGTACAATAAATTTTACATCAAATTGACCAATGGTATTAATTAACTTAATAGTTAAACTTCTGACATTTTCTAGAGCAAATTTTACATTCAATGGATAAAAAAAATAGTTGACTGTTATATAATATAATTTATAGAGTAACACTGTATACTAATATCAAACAAACTTCAATCTTTACATAGTTCCGTACATTTACCAGCTATATGAAATTATGATGAATAAACTGGAATCATCATTGATTCAAATAAATATCATTCAAATAATAAGATATCGTTTAGCGATTATAAAAAACAAAGACAAAAAGCGCTAAACGAAAAAGTGTTAAACCAAGTCACTTTAACCCAGAGGTTCCCAAACTGTATGACGTACATCAAAAAAGTTTTAGAACTCCTGCTTTAACCTATAGTAAATATGTAAATTTAGAACTTTTATAAAGCTTTATAAAATTCCTGTTAATTGAGAAAGGCGCTGAATTAGGTCTTACAGTATTAAACTATTTTAGTCATTTCTCGTTTTTGAAGTTGTTATTGATAAATAACATAAATAATGTCACAACGACATCAATCAAAATAATGATAATCTAGTCATTACGACATCTAGTCTATGTGATGATGACGTTAATCAGTCATAATGCGTAAATAATTATTGATTAAATGTGCATTTCAAACTATCAATTATTTATGCAATTTCATATGTCAATTTTACCAAGAAACGAAGCCTTACTTTTACATATGTGCGATTCTTAACATAATTTCATTGAATTCAATCCTGCAAAAATGTATAAATTAACACAATGTGTATTTAATAATTTCTGAAGTTTTACATTTCTTATTTTCTATTTTGTATTGATGACTACAAAGTTATATATTTCTATGAATGTTACATTAGATAATATTATAAAACTCAAAGTCCGTCTAACAAATTTATTTTACTGCATTCAAAAAGTTTTATCATCTTATCAAGTTTTATTTGTTGAATTATATAACCTTTAGATTAGAATATTGTTTATATTCTAACGATTTTATAACAAATATTATGCAAGTAAAAAAAATAATTAAATGATTTCAACTATTAAGACTATTATAAAAAAAATTCTTTTGCATGGTCAAATGTATTTTGGTTTTATATAATATACAAGTACGTAGTTTGGTAAATGTACATGTTAATATTATTGTTCATGTATATGTTACCAGCTTGTTTGGTAAATGTGAGGTCAACATACATTTATCCCAGATTTCCGGGAAATGTGTTTACTATAAACATTTATCACTAATAAAGGTATACAAGCAAAAGAAAATTTGGACCAGTTAAAATTAAAAATATAATTTAACCTAAAATTAATTCCTGTTGAAATAGGATGTTGATAGAAGTAAAACAGATCCCAAAAATAATTTTATCAAATGAGTAGAAAACAAAGAAAATTAAAGCAATGTTTCAAAAGAAATCAATTTTCAGTATGCAAATTTATTTTTCTATTGATGATGACCTAATATTGAAATATCAGTAATTCTACCAACCAATCTGGTAAATATGGACATTTACTGAATTTGTATTTTTAACGTATGTGGTAGCACTGACAAAATTAAATAAATTGTAAGTTATCCACGAGCAACATATTTCCATGTAAAATTAGCAAAATCATGCTGTTAATGTAATCAATTTTTTTGAGAAAATTTCTAATAAAAAAAAACTCAAATGAAACCTTGATATAATCAATATAGTGTTTAATGCAATTTCAGGAACATTGAAATTTATGTATCAATTTTATTATTACAATATTTTAAGAATATTCTCGTAATTTTCGTCTATTTTGTAAAATATTTATTCAAAAAGTATAATACAATATTTGATTTGTTCTGTGAAATAGTGTCAATACTACCGTAACATTACTGCACTACAATCGTTGTGGTAATGTCGCATGTACTTGCGCTATTGTTGTATGCATTCGACGATGATGTGTTGATAAGAAGTTGTGCTTCTGATGTTCATGTTTATGAAATGTTTGTTGCAGGATGTTGGGTGGTGTGGCCGGAAGGCACATGTCCAACCGGCGACGCGGCTCCTCACCGGCGGTTCGCATCGCCGATGATGTGCCGCCTCTGCGCTACACCCGACGAAGAAGGGCCGTCACCACCTCGGACCATAAATCGTGTGCCCTCATTCAGACACGTCTCAAACTCGGGGATATCATGTAAGTTCGCAAAACAAACTCCATACACATATACCATACATGCATGCATCCGACAATATTATCTTTATACTGTTGCGACACATGACAACTACATAATGATCATAACTTATTTAAGAATAACAAAAATTGTGTGTAAAATGAAATTTAATCATCCATTTTACTAAAAAATATTACTTCCTGAAATAATCTTCAAATGTATTTAATTAACGTTTTAAATAGTGAAATTATATTAAATTAATTAATTGCACAGATAAAAGAGTTACATAAGAAAAATTTTCAAGTTTGAGAGGAAAAATACAAACTATTAATTATTTATAGTTTTATACTGATTAAATTAAATTATTAATAATTATTTGCACTAGGAAATGATTTTAAATTAATTAATTACTCTATAAATATCAATTATCCAAACTACGCGTGATACAAGACATTAATTTACATCAGACATACCAACTGTTATGTATACGTGGCAACTGTTGGTGCAGTTTTAGTGTCAGCGCACTCTACGATAAGCAATATCAGTTGGAACTTCTGACGTGTAATATTTATTATCTCATAACATGCATATTGTAGTTGTAAAAAATAAGTTAATGATTTGTCCATTTCTTTAAAAATCAAATCATAACATTATGATTTCTTTATAATTACTGATTTAAGAATTATCGCAGAGTCGTATTTTGAAAAGTGCAAATAATCTTTGATAATTGAAGGAAAATTGATCATTTTCTAACCTAATTTAAAGATTGTCTGAGATATTATTAGTAAGCTTACATAAACTCAATTATCGGTGTAATTATTTTTTTCCCTTATTATTGTTTAGAAAATAAATTGTATACTTTCTATTGAATATACAATCTCTTCGTGATTTATTTACTTCATAATTAGATTATAAAGAATTTAAATTTTAGTATAGTTTTCAGTAATATTAATTTATTCTGTTACATTTATCTACATATTTATCTATATAAGCAAATTTATTATTTATAAGAAATTTTCTTTTTTTAATATTGAAATATTCATAGAGTTTTGCTATGAAATGAGAGAAAATATAATTGAGTTTATAATAAAATTCTAAGTATTCCAGAGTTTTTAACACATAGAATATTTGAACATTGCGTCCTAAATACCAACTCCATTAATGGACGTTTACATTAACTAATAGGTAAATAAGTTTTGGAAGAAACATGTTTAAAAAAAATCAAAATTGAATTTAATTATATATTATTCATTTTTAACTTTTATTCATGCTTGAAACAGTTTTGTGAATATTATGTAAAAAAATCTTTCTTCCTGCATTTAACACTAAATATTAATGGTCATATATTTCTTAATCTACCAGTAATTAGTTTACAAATTGTTTAACATATTTTGAGACTAAATAACTTACTTTGTGATGATAAATGATTAGTTGTATTGTATTATTCACACTAAAATTTATTATTTTTAAACTAATGTTATAAATATTGGTTTACAGCTAGTTACTATTTAATGTTATTTTATTAAATATTTTCTTTCTAGTATGAATGTAACATTTGTTTTATTTTTGTTTATTCTGGACAACAAAAAATACATATTAATATTTATTGAAACAAATATACAGACTTAACAAAATAACATAATAACATTCTGTCCTAAAAGAAAATATAATTATTAAATTTTTTTGTAATTTTAGAATATTTTTCATTTCTATTTATAATTGCCTTGCCAAGTTTCAAAATAATGACAGTTCTAAAGATATTATTTTTATAATAATTAACTCAATATAAAGAAATATACCTTTTCAAAGTCAGAGAAACCAATCAAAATTCGTCCGGACTGTCTCCAAATTTATATAGAAAGAGGAGATGCATGAGAGGACAAATTTACAGACCGTACTGATCGAAGCCTGACTATGCGAAGTATTATTATATATTGTTTCTTTTCAAAATGCTTCCAAACAAACTCCGATGATCTTCGTTACTCGAAATGTTCGTTAATCGAAGATCGATTAACTCCCATGATACACATATAAAAGGTAAATGAACATATCTTGGGGTTAAGAAAATTAATTATTGAAATATGTACTATTTAGAAAAGATGCTTACCTTTGAAAATAATTCAATTATTCATAAAATGATATAATAATATATTTTTACTTAATGCATATCAATCTGTCATCAAAAACCTTATACGAAAAGAAGTACGTTGTATATTTGTATCCTGGTTATCTCTCATAAGTAACGTCAATCGGTCGATTTGTTATCCAATTTTTTTGCAATCCAAATTGATCAGTAAAATATATTATGTTCATATGATGGTGATTACGAAAATGAACAACGTGCGTACAATTTGTTGCTAGCTCATTTTTCACCGTCACCATTTTAAACGCAAAGTAATTTAATTAATATTGCGCCCCCGTTTTGTCCACCGTTTTAATTGCACGCAAATATAATAATCATCATAATGATATTAGTGACATAATAATAAAACACGTCGGAATTTCATTGCACACAGAAATAATGAATTTATAACGTAGAGAGAGTGAGTGCGAGTGAACGTATTTGTAATGAGAATGAGTGAAAAGGGATGAGGGCGTTTCGCTGTATAGTTTCCATCGAAAACCATCATCACCGAAACCGACATTCTATACAAACGGGAAGCACCGGTCTGTTTCATTTTGCAGAAATTCAATGGATATTAGTTATTGGAATTGCGCGTCGCCTGGGGTTTGCTGAAACGGGGAGGATTGGCATCTCCCTACCGACCTCACACCCTCCAACCATCCCACCCGCAGTTCATATTAATAACGGAAGGAAGAATTGTGCCATGACGTGCTAGCGAACGAAATTAATAATAATACAAAAAAAACTGTATCTTTGGTTCGAAACCGCATTACGCAATTCGTGCATGTGACTGTTTCCAACATAAACAATGAACTGCAGGGGATTCTTATATAAGTTCCTTTGAACACACGTGTTCGAGGGGACAAGCAAACACCTGCTGCGAAACGAACTAATTACATCCAACTAGCAATGCATGTGTTTATTAAGAGTTGCGTCAGAATAAGTTTGAAATCGAAATGTCATTGTATTACTTTGAAGCAATTGTATAACATAACATGGAAACTCTCAAAAGACACATACAAGTGTAGTTCCAGAAGTACCCGACCTAACAAAGAAATCGTCAAATCACAAAGTAGTCTTTTTTTCAGCTCGATATACTGGATATTTTCCAACGATGTTCAATAGCTTCAAAACCCGGTTTATAGTGAGCAAACTCCACCTCTTCAATGTTGGCAAATCTTTTACCATTGAGCCTTTTAAGTTTGAAAAGGGAAAATAATCCGAGGGGGCTAAATCTGGTCAATATGCAATGTACAGCACTTTTTTTTAAATACCTACCATGTCTACTAGCTGGCACACTTTCAGTCGACGCTCATCCAATACCATTTTGTGGATTTTCTTCACCATTTCTGGTATGATCACCTCATTTGTTCGACCACTACGATGTTTGTCTTGGTAGATCACATGACCTCGTTCAAACTTTGCCACTCAATATTTTTTTATTGTTAACGAAGGAGCAGACTCTCCCAGATTAAAATATAGCTCAGCTTTGATATTGGTTGAACTGAGATCTTTTAAATGAAAATGTTGTATCACATAATGATAACCAATTTTTTCAATGTTTACAACCTTCTCTATCGATGCCTATCAAACAAATACTAAACAACATAGCGTGTTCAAACTTAAACTTTATAAGCTTGATACTTTTAATAATAGTAGTTTTTAAACAAAAACGGCAATTTTTACATATTCTACTTACTGTATTGTGCCGTGTTTTTAATGAAAATAAAATTGATGGTCTGGTATCAGTTTATTATCAGTTGCAAAGTTAGAATTTGTAAATAATAATATGAATCATGATTTATTTACAAAATACAGAAATTTATATAATCAAATATTATATATAGTAATTTTTGATAGTTTTTTTATTGGCGTCTCATAGTTTGGAAAACACTGCATTAAATATATGGGAACATTGAAAAGTCGGAATGTTAACTGAAGTATTGATTGAGATTCTTAGTTTTTAAAGATGTAAATTGTAAAACTTATTTATATTAATAGTTACATATATAATCAGTAAACAAATACATACATTATAACAAAATTTCCACACAGAAACATTTATTTACATTACTTCAACTCTGTAGCGTCTCGATTAACTAAGCAAACATTTTATTATCCATGACAAATTGAACTATTTCACAATATATTTCCTTTTTATTTACATTGTTTCAACCTTAAGTAATTCAATTAAATGAAAGTAAACAAGTTATCAATACAAAATTATAAGGAAAAAGATAAAAGAACGTTTTTAAATGAAATAAATCTAAATAGAATATCTAAATGTTTAATCTTTATAGTCTATGGATGTTTATACTTTCATCGAGTTATATTTAATCAATTTTCGTAGATATTTAAAACATCTTTTATTAGAATATTTCGATTCAATTATTAATGATCTTACTTATTATATAATATTGTAATTTAATTGTTATACTCTAGATTACTTATATACTACTACTCTACAGAGAGAAAAACACAATTAAATGTTTCCTACAGCTCTTTGAAGTTTAAAATTGTCGTCGCTGAGATTTTTCGGATGTCTTCATTACAACAATTTCATCTATTCTCCTCCACTTCAATCACTTATTGATTGCAATATTTCCAGCATTTCTCTTTTGTAAAAATGTAACTTCCCTTCCAATTTGATTTCTTTGTAAATATCATACTGACACATATTTTATATAATGAGTACAATTATATTTTTATTTCTTCAATCATATAACAAACAAACCTTTACAAAAACATCCATATTTCAAGATTTTTTTTTACATATTGAAGATTAGATAATTCTCTGAATATTTTTATTTCTAAAAATTCTTATGTACGACATTTAATTCTCTAATGTGTTTATCATGTTTTTTTTTTAAATACAAAAGTAATTTAATATATGTTTATAAAA